GCAGAAGCCTTATAATCACCCATTCATTCAAATCAGGTGTGTTTTGAGCAGAGAATAAAATAAAACATGCAGGGCCGCGGCCCTCGAGGACCAGGATTGCCCACCCCTGAACTAGAATAGTGCTGCAATCTTTTAAATTCATAATATTGATTATTTTAAGACAGTAACATGAGTGTATATTTGGRTTTTGGGCAGTTTACCAGGCCAAAACGGTGRAAATCTTCACAACACGATGGGTCAGTCAGAGGCAGAGCTGATCCTCYGGTTAACTTGGCGAAWTAAAAAAAMAAACTAAATTCAGACTCTTTACTGTCAAAATATGATTCTCTGTCAACTCTAGTGACCAGTATTCAGGTAATAAATACACACTGGAGGATTTTTTTGAGGGCAGTCTCTGAAAAATCGTGAAGGAGGACAGAGAAAACACTTGATTCTTTTACCGGATCGTTTTCCCTCCGTTTCACCAGACACGGAYCGGACGTAGCTGCTAAAAACTAACTTTCAGGTAATCGGTTCTCCTGGATAAAAGCTTTACGTAAATCTAAAAAATATGTTTTAACTAGTACAATGAGTTTTTGCCAGAAGTGGATTTATTACCGTGTTTAGAGAGTAATCCGTGCAGAAGAGTGGGTGACTGCGCATCTTTAACCTGCTTCGACTGAGGCGGCTGCCGCTTCGGGAGTTAGCTGTGGTACAATCGCGCCGTAGTTCAGACCCTGATGTTGCATTCAGGGTCAAGTAGAAAACTAAATTATCTTTATTTTGGTACCRGGGGGGTCTGTGATGATTTTTTCTGGATGAAAATCACGATCAAACTGAAACTTCCATTTTATTTTTGTATTTGCTATATTAAATTTCATCAAATATATGATGTGTTTCACATGCATAGAAAGCTTAGAATCTGCACTATTTGTTGATATAAAACTATTTTTTTGAACGCACCGTTTTCCGATGGCCTGGTTGCAGAAATTCACAAGTTTGTTTTTTTTTCTGAGAGGTGCTAAAAATCTGAAAAGTTCCATGAAGCTAGCAAAAATAAAAATAAATACGAGTTACTCGCCAGTTTCTTTTTGTTACTGAAGGTTTTTTTCAACATATTAAAATAAATCAAAAACCAGTATAAAGTTGGAACTCTAAACTTTATTTCTGTCTTTACAGCGTAGAGATACGTAGAGTAGTTTTCTGATGGGCTCAAACCAAACTTGAACTTTTGTGTTTCCTAAGACAGCACTCATTTTCTGCCATCATCTGATGGACCTTTGGGATACCTGCTGTTATCTTTATTTYCAGATGTCTTTTCACATTTTATGTGATTTCTTTTGTACTTTATTTTATGTAAAAATGAGCGCAACAAAGATGAGCTAAAAACTCTCAAAAACTAAAATGATACCTTAAAGTAGTGAAACGCTTGCTACAACCTAAAGTAATGAAATGCTAGACATTRTTAGCAAAGTATTGGTTGAACGATGGAAGTAGCAAAAGGCTAACTTGAGCAAAAATTGACATTGGAAGACGTCAACGCTTGATTTTAAATTTTTTTAAAAATTTTATCTAGAAATTTATAATTTAACAATTTTATACACAACAAAGAACAAAAAAACTTGCATAAAATTTAAGTAATGTAATTCTATTGCATAAGTTTTTGCAAATAAGTTATGGAAAACTTAAAGTTACTWAAACCAAAGCTTTTAGCAGTCGTCTTCTGAATGAGCCAAATGTTTGGATATCAACTAAAATAATATAAAATATGCCATGTGCTTCATGACGAATAAATGTTTTTAAATATCCACTAATTTTTTTTAATTACATCGTAAATTAAACTCCTAAATTTGTCTCTTTAGTGAAAAAAAGGGAATAACTGGAACCAAAACTCCATCAAAGCTGGACCTGATTGTGTGTCGTGATGTGTTTTGCAGAACTTTAAGAGGGAGGAGCAGAACTTTGTGGTGATGAACGAGATCAACAACATGTCCTTTCTCACCGCTGACAGTAAGAGCAAGATGAGCAAGGTGAGAGAGGAGGGCCGGGACGAAGCACCGCCTGAGTCACCACACATCGAGCTGTAACACATTAAGAAACTAACTCCAACACTAACTCCACCCACACCCAGCAGAGAGTCATCCATTCATGTCTTCCTCTATTCAGCTGTTATCACTGTAGCTCAGAAACATCTTGTAAACCATTTAAAGCTAGATGTTTGACACATCATCTGTTCCAGGATAATACAAGTGCTAATATAGTTTGTGATGAGCGGTGTTGCTAACTGTGTTCTCTCCTTATATCCTGTGTCGGGGGTTGGACGGCGGGTCTCTAGGCCGGAGACGGAGAGGTTAGATTGTGTTTGTGCACGAGCGCTGTGCTGATCGCATGGCACCCTGAGTTTGAGAGGCATTTTCRTCAAGCTCTCCTGCACTTCTTCTGGATGAACTGACCCCATTATTCACACAAACACATCTGCAGAAACAGAGTTATAGACAGGCTTACTCTGTGTGTGGAGCTCCTAAAAACAGCCTCTCTCTGGGATTTTCAGTAAAGCACCTTTAGCTCACGTGGACAGAACGCTTTTTAAGAGCATTCATGTGGACACCAGACCTTAGTTATAAACAAAACAAGAGTTTTTAAGTCTAAACTCATCTTAGCTTAAGTACAGGATTAACTAGAGAATAGGGCTGCCACGATTAATTGACGACTACTCGATTATTAAAATAATCGATGACTAATTTAATAATCTAATCGTTCTCTTTTTTTTGTTCTTTACTTTGTTTTTCTCTCCAAACTGCTTTGACACCTTCCACTGCCACGTCTGCCTTTCTGTCCTTGACACACATGCACAGTAGTGGTAACTGGGGTAGGCCGTGGACGTCACAAGACATTAYACAGACAGGCTCTGGTATCATGGCTACCTGACAACAGAGCTCAAAGTGTGGGATCATTTTAAGAAAATGAAAGAGAAACCTGTGTAATATCTGCAGAGCAGAACTTACCTTCCACAGCTATTATTTTTAGTTAGCATATAGCTAAAATCTAACCATGGTTAAATAATAGCAGCTGCATTCTGACGTGATAAGCTGTATGTTTTATATTCAATTAACGTATGATCTGATTAGTCGACTAATCGAAAAAATAATCGGTGATTAATCAATTTATTAAAATAATCGTTTGTGGCAGCCCTACTAGAGAATTTGCATTTCCTACAAAAATACAGTGTAAATGCTTGTTAATTAAACAATTTCGCTCAAGTCAAGTAAAATTTGCAAAAGTAGCCAAAAATAGCAGAAACAAGTTGATGGTGTAAAGAAAAATAAACTAGCAGAAAACAAAAGGAATACAAAAAAGTTGCAGTTTGTTGTAAAATAGCTAAAACAACTGTAATTAACTGAAAAAAGTTAAAAAGTAGTTGAAAAACCATAAAACTAAAAATTAGCAGATAAAATGCTAAAAAGTAACTAGAAAAAGCAGAAACTAATAGACGCAGAAAAACACATTTGCTGAATTAAGCAATAAGAAGCTGAAATTACAAAAAGGATAATTTAACTTATGTGAAGTTAAAATTAGCTCAAATAAACTAAAAGTAACTTGAAAAAGTCCAAACTAATAGAAGCAGAAAAAGCAGTAAAAAGCTGGAATTATAACAAAAAGGTGAATTCAGCTGAAATAAAGCTAAAATTATCTGAAAAGTAGCTAAGAGTAAGAAAGACAGCTGGAACTACCAGAAAGCAGCAGAGAAGAAACTTAAAAAAAGCATAAAATGGTTAAATTTTACTGAAAATGGCTGAAAGGAGCAGACTGATGGCTATAATATATAATATAATGATAGTTTAGATAAAGAAGCTATAATTAGCTAAAACGAAACTAAAGAAAATTGAAATCAGTACAAATGGTTATAAGTACAGTAAAAATCCATGAATGTTTGGAAGAGTTTTAAGGATGTTGAAGACAGCTACATTTATTTTTAATAAAAAAATGGCAGAAAAATGTAAACATCTTAAAAAGTATAAATTGCTGAAATAACAAAAGTCAAAACCAGAATATCCCGAAGGAGCTGAACATTTTGATATAGACATTGTTAAAATAACACAAAATCTCTGAACAAGTTTTGTGATGAAAACACACAGAATAAAAAATAAYAGTGTGAATGCTTGATAAGTGGACCAGATTATCACAGCGCAGTCAGATGATTGCCAGCGTTTATTTTCTGCAGAAGAGATCAAAACACATTCTGGTCAAGCTGTAAACGAGAGCAGTGTTTGTGAGCACTCACTAGAGGCTAACTGTGGTACACGCGTTGGTGCCAAAAACCACGGAAACAAAAACATCTCGTATGCTTCACAACGTAATAAAATGAAATTCACAGATACTCATGAATTAGAAATAATATAGAGTTTACTAATATGAGATTTTACAGATTGAGTTTGAGGCGGATGTATTTAGAGTTGTTGGTTTGTTGGGACTGTTTTTTGTGTTTGTTTGTATTTGTGTGAGTAAGAGGGTCCGGTGGGCTTGGTGAATGCTCTGTGCTGTAGATGGTAGTGGCCTGAGAGGCTTCATGGCGCCCGGCTGAGCGGTTGGGTTCTTGTTGTGCTCTCCTGCAGCCGAGCGCCATCAGCCTGTTTTTCCTTTGACCAATCAACACTTTGCCTTCAGGTGGTCCCTGCAGGACTCTGTCTGTAAGCTGACGACGGGACTGTAACGTTTTTACAGTGTTTTATTGTTAAGGGTTTCTGCACTGGAAGACACGTCTCTGCTCCTTCCAGGATCGGCCTTGGGTTCTTCTTGCACTCCTTTTTGTTAGATGTGCCTGATCCGTCTGCAAAACAAAGTCTACCTGCTTTCAGTTCCTGGGTTTTATCAGGACAAGGTCTTTRCCCAGATCTAAAAGATCTAACCTCAGGTCAACAAAAACACAAGTCAGACCATTGTGTCATTTTTTATTTAGCAAAAATGAAGACAAAATAAAAAAAATCTGCTTTCGTCCACTTAAGACTGTCAATGTGTTAACACAACGCCAATTAAAGCCATCAACAACGACCTTCAGAGAAGCATCTGTTGAAGCTGTGTTACCCCGAAGGTCAGACTGTACAGGCCTTAGTTAAAGGTCAACGCAGGGTTCCCACAGGTCCTTGAAACCCTTGAAAGTTTTAGAATTTAAAAAATAAGTTTGAAACTCTGGAAGGTTTTTGAAAACAGCCATGAAAAGACAATCAACCTTCAAAGCCCTAAATAATATTTTGGTTTGAAGCTGATTGCTGTCAACATGTTTCATTGTTTTGTTTCGACACTTCRTTCTTGTTTTCAGTATGTTGTCAACTTAGATGTTTATCAAAATGAGACCTGTTTACAAAAAGCACATTTTTACTTTTATCACAATCATTCTCACTGAGACAGTTACCAGTGTGGTTGTGTTTTAGTTATCCTCAAGTTCATCATTTCATACAATTAAGACTTGAAGACTTCAGTTTTTTCTGTTGAATAAATATTTTTTCCACTACCTGGCTTTGGTGAGCATTTAAAGCTAATATGATTCTTGTGTTTTTCAACATGGAAGAGTTTCAAGGCTTCAAGGTCTCATCTCGCCATAACTAGACACATCCATGCATTGTGGATATGAATGTATGAATGTTATCGTTATTAATGTAGGCTGTACTATCAGTCCACTTCCTTTCATTGATTCTGAGCCAATAACTTCTATTCCATTCAGTTTTTATCAAATTTTCATTGCATTAAAATTTTTTATTGATAACCTGTTCTACGGCAGTTGAATTCGAGGAAATAGGTCCTGGAAAGTCCTTGAACTGTCCTTGAATTTAATGTTAACCAAGATGTGGGAACCCTGTCCGTGGTTGTGATGGCACCGTTAGAGTCCAGGGTTTGCACAGGGTCTTGAAAATTCAAAAACAACCCTCTTCTCTCTAAAAACAACATTAGATTTAAAGGAACCACAAGACTTCCAGAACGAGAGATGTTCAGCCATAACGCCCAGCAGCAAACAGCTCCCAGCTGTCAGCATGGTGGTGGATGCCTGATGGTTTGGGCTCCTCGCAGTCACTGAGAGGACCATGAACTCAAAGGGTTCTAGGGTCAAATGTGAGTCCAACTATCTGACAGCTGAAGTTTGGACCAAACAGACCAGTTTTTCATGTTTTGTTTCTGTTTAATAAACAATGACACGCTGGGATCTGCTGTTTTTGTACTTCTGAACAGAAAGAAGGTGGACTTTTTTTGGACTGTTTCTGATTTGTTGGATCTCTTTGGGGAAAGTGAAGCTGCCATTGCTCAGCCGTTTTTAAATCGACTAACCGGACTCATGGCTCCTTGTCATGCTCACTGACACCATTAAATCTACATATTTCAACATCTAATCACTGTTTGAAAGTTTATATGATGGTTGCTGAAAGTGAAGCCTGCTGTTGGTTATGAGATGAAGTCGATGCAACAGAGAAGAACCTGAAACGTTCGTGTCTGCAGGAAAATGTCTGTCTTTAGCATGTTAGCATTCGGTAACCGTCCATCACCCTTTTCTGTTTTTACCAAAAGTTCTCAGAAGCCTTGATTTACCAGTCCCACTTCTTTTTATTGTATTTTTTAAAACAAAGGGTCCAGTTGTTGTTTTTTTCTGGTTAACGCGTACCGATCTGTCCCTGTCTTCAGTCTGGAGGCTCAGATCAGGAGCGCAACAAGAAGAAGAAGCGGGGGGACCGCTACTCCGTGCAGACCTCCCTGATCGTAGCGGCGTTAAAGAAGATGCTTCCCATCGGTCTCAACATGTGCTCTCCTGCCGATCAGGAGCTCATCAATCTGGCCAAGATCAGATACTCTCTGGTACTGAGAAGTATTTAAAACCAGTCTGATGGACAGAAAAAAACACAGAAATTGTGTTTTTATCAATTTATTGCTTCTAACGTTGACATCCATTGACCGCTCTTGATTTAACCTCAGGAAAGTTAGTTTTCTGGAATAAACCCAAACCTTTTGTTTTGTAGAAAGACACAGATGAGGAGGTGAGAGAGTTCCTGCACAACAATCTGCATCTGCAGGGCAAGGTAAGAGCAGACATGTACTAAACCAGGACWTCTTAACCTTTTTCACCTCGGCACCCAATTTGTTGAACATAAAGTGACACGAGGCCCAGTCAGACATTACCATACGGCTCAAAATGATAATTATTCTAAATCTTGGTTTAATGTGCATTATTTGAATTATAACTAAATAAAAAACACTTACATTTTAAAAGTAAAACTCCTGTCAAATAATCACAAGACATGATTATGACAAACATTTTTATATTGTAACCTGCCCATAACTATTTGAACTAATACAACAGTCAGTCAACAGACCACTCAGGCTTATCAACACA